ATTTTACTGCTCTTAGATAAGTCAACCCTTAACATGTCTGTTAATCAAATGAAATGCTAACAAAATATTAATTTGATGCAGACAAGTATAATGAAACACTTTCAAAATGCAATTTCATTCTGCAGAGTGTAATGAAACATTAATAAAACACCAACATTGTAATGAAACATTAACAAAATACCATGCCACCCCATTTAAATGCAACACTTTCAAAACATACTAAGAAAATATAAAAGTATGATTTGGTAGTGTTTTGAAGATATTTTGAAAGTATTTTGTTAGATTTCTTTTTCATTTGGGTTATGAAAGAAAAAATTGGTTGTGTGGAAGTCATTAACAAGGTAACCACAAAGAATAAGACACAGTTAGACCTAATATTTACCAACTTTACTGATTTAGAAACAGATGTTCTTCAGGCTTATTGGTCTGACCATAATATGATTTATTGTGCTGCAGATTTGACTTAAGCAAGCTAGCTATTCTATGACAGAACTGCATTTTAATTACAATGTATAGTATTATAAACCCTCCTGATCATAAAACAGGCAGTGTGTAAATATTTAGTTTCCAATGGAAGCTAAATATTTACAAACTGCCAAGAGTGGTTGGACAAAACAAGGGTTGCCACTCATCAACTGCCTTATTTGTCCCAATAACTTTCAATATGTTTCTTATATATAAATGTATTTAAAATCGCATTGATTAAATTACTTACTTGCTATTTGGAAGTTATTGGGACAAAAAAGATTTAGAGTTATAATGCCCATGAGATGAAATTATTTATCCAGTAGTTTATTTATAGTTTGTACTGTCTACTTATCTATTCATTATCTTTAATTTATGTATTGTATTGTTCATCCACAATTTAAAATCAACAACAGATTGAAAAACTGTTACAGTTGGTATAGGAGGTAATTTTATTAACTAACTAATTGCAAATTCACATGTTAACAGTTCTGTAATAATCTAATTAATATATACTACAAGTGAAATATTGTGTTCCTATAAAGATTTTGAATAAGAATGATATACTATTATTTGAAAAGTTAATAATGTACACTCAGGTATGTCTGCAAGATTTGATTGATTTATAATTATTGTTTCTTTATAGCATGTCTTCTGTTGTGGCCACACATATTGATTCCATTAAGTCTGGATAAAATTACAATTGATCAAGTATTATTTCTATCTCGTATGTTTTATTTTGTTAATTTTTACTCTTTACAATATTACATATTTTTGTGTATTTAATGTACTACATGTATCTGTTTCAGTAAAATGTATAAAGTTTAACAATTAACATTTCATCTCATGGGCATTTAAATCCTCAATTTTTGGGGTATATTAATTCTAGAATATATATTATCTTACTTTAGTAGTAGTAGATATATTAGAAAGCATTCTTGTACTATACATAAGTATTTATTAGCTATATTGTACAATAATATGATTAACTCTGCAATTATTATGATATTTATGATTATGTACTTTCATATAAGTTACATTGCTTGAATTACTTTGTAAACTATATCACAAGTGACTATCAGTATATCTACATAAGACATTGTAATCATCCTGAATACTTTTCTCCTTGAAAACAAACTCTAGCTCCAGTGGACATATAAAAGGAACATTCTGTCTCTAAAAATGTGCTGTTACTTGTAAAATGTTAATCTTTTTTTTTTTTTTTTTTTTTTTTGTTTTGCATAAACTTATTCATTGTGTTACATGTAAAACAATAGTGTTATCTACATTCTGTTGTTCAAAGTCATATTTAAGAAATCATTTGTTATTTAGTTTATCAAGTTTTTTATTTATTATTTATTGCTAATACTGAAATGTTTCTCAACTCGACATGGACAATTTTTTTTTAATTTTGATAAATGTCATATTAGAACCATATTCACCCTCACAATCATCCATATTTCTTTAAAGATGCATACCACAAACAAATTTTTTTATCTCCCACACAGAAGAGTAATTACACTGATAATTTTTCAATATTCCTTTCTATGGAAATGTAATTAAAAACTTATGGATCACTTTCATTTCTGCTTCTTTTTTTTGCCATATTTAATGTTGCTTGGCGAAACATATTTGTTGTTAAAGTAAACAAATATCACATCTAAAGTGAGAGAGGCACCTAAGATAATTGAATTTTTGAAGGAAAATCCTTAAGTACACATTCGTTATTCTGTTTCATGATCCTAAAACCTTTATGATCTTTGTATCTCATTATATGAACAACTTTTAATCTTTCTTTTCGTTTTCGGTATGTAAGGTTAAAAAAGTTGTTCTAAAAATGAATGAATGCAGCTGTTTCTGTGAAATATAAAAATATGAGTTCCAGTTGCACAATTTTTAAATTTAGATTACTAAATCACACTATATATGTAGTATTTAATGATATAGGAAATTTTTATGCAATTTTTATGTTTTCTTTTGTTTTTGCCATGCTTTGAAATGCTAAGTGCCAGAGCAAGATGGTTTAAACAATGTACTTAACGATTTCAAATATTTTTCATCTTGTTCGGTTGCATTAAATTTGTCTGTTCAATACACTTTTCATGATATCTTAAAAAGGTTAGGATAACTCAGTGGTTAATTTTTTACATCTTGTGCAGATGTCAATGACAGTGAAATGTATTCATAAAAATATGTCAACTTACTACAGTATAATGGACTCAAATTTGGTTTAAAAAAAATTATCAAGTCAGATGTCATAATATCTTTTTAATGTTGTAAGTGTCTGAAATCACCTACATGAAGCAACACTTTTAGAAGGTAAGTAGTGTGGAAAGAAGGGGTCAATGGCCAGCCCGTAAAGGGAGGTAAACCTGCTTCTTTCAAATGGTATATAAATAAAAGTGATAATTGCTTTGAATATTGTTTTATGGTAAAATTTCAGACATTTGCAAAACGTTTTTACCTATCAAGTATTTTTAGCTTTCAAAACTAAACAAAATAATTTAGATCATAACACTTTATGAAATGGTTAACACATTGCTTTTGGACAAAACTATTGAATGCAGATTGAAATTATGACATGATGATATATGTGATTTTTGTACAATGATTAATATGTCAACAAATAGATACTATATTATATATATGCACATAAATATATTGTATGATTCTAGATTAAGATGTTTTATTGCAAACTGCTGATATGATCAAGAACTTTTTTGATTAATTATAACCATCTTTATAGTTTACTTGTAGTTCATTATATACTGAATAATTTAAACCTCAATAAATCTGATATAATCTGATATAATTTGTTTTGTATGTGTCCAGGTTTATTGCATGGGGTTTATAGGAATAAGAAGGAAAGGATCAATTTTCAGTATATCATGGATCACATATCTCAGTTTATTTTTTAAAGTATGCATATTTGAATTGCACAAAGCACATACAGATATAAAATAAATTCATCACTTCAAACGTAGATTAAAGTTTTTTTCAAATGCATAGGTATTATAACCAAGGGTCATTAATTCAGAATTGTGAATTTCAAGGCCCCTGGGTCATGTGGGTCAAGGGTAACATAGCGGAGAGGGGGTCTAATTATATACTGACAATGAATTACTGCCTTCAAACATTTATGATCAGCAAGGGTGCCTTTTCCAAATTTGTGCAATGTGTGAACCTAGGGTCAGGGGTTCCTGTGGGTCGGGGCACTACTGATTATTGCTGAATATTACTGATTTGTTGAAATGCATTTTTTCTCTGCTCTGCCTATGGGTATTAGGTAACTAAACTAAGCATGCTAAGTGTTATGATGAGCAATGGTGCCTCTTTCAAAACTGTGTATGCCATAGCCTCTGGTTTAAAATATCAACCAAAGTCAATGGTTGGAAAGTTGCTTGATGCTCAGGTGACCTATAAGGCCCATGGGCCTCTTGTTTATTGATTTGTTTATTTATTGATGTCTTTCATTTTCTACGGAATACCTTGTCTCAGGTTGTTGTATCGATTTTATTGTTTTATTTGTCTCCGTTTTATCCACGCGATTTTAAAGAGAAATTCGGAATGGCTCACATTAATTTATTAAGATTATGCAATATCTCTTGAAACTTATGTGTGTGTCTGCGTGTTCTGCTGACTTTTCTACAGGTCCTAAATATTGCTGATGTTTAAGTTCTAATTTTCAAAATTGGTACCGTTCATGATTAACAATATTACCCCTGTCGAAAGCTTTTCTGATGGACTCCTAGTCCTCGAGGGTCTCTACAGCCTAGTACATGTAGTAGCTATATATGAAATAAATTTGTTTTTCGTGTGTAAAAGTAAGACGTCGATGGTTAAAGTTGGCGGTTCTCGAAAAAGTCCAGTACAAGGGTCTTTAAGGAGAAGAAAGTTAAATCTCTTTTTTTTTTATCAATTCGTAGCCCATTTTAATGCTTAGTTTGAACAAAATATGTTCAGGATAATGTTATGAAAAGACAGAGATGAAATTTAAGGAAAGAAACTCTTTATATCATTATTGTTTTAAAATAACTTAGTTAATACCCATCTCATCAGATCAATTATTGGACGGCAAGATATAAGTGCCTTGCAACAAAATCTGATACGATTATAAATAAATATATGAAGTCGTCCGTCTCATAGAAAAAAAATCTTTCTCTTCTACCGTAGTTTTTTCTTGGACCTACGTCGTTCTTTTTCTTCTCTTATAAATAAAATCATGTCAATGAAGAACTTACTTCATCAGAAATCAGACGGTAGATTCCGTTGCCTGCTATGAAATATATAGTTATTATAATTAATACTGTTGTTGTTTGTTGTTTTTCTTTTTGTACCCTCTGAGCTTCTATTACATATTTGGATTTTTGACAAAATGTCAATTATCGTAAGCTTTGCTTAAATTAGAAAGAAAATAACATAATAAAATATAGTAATATAGTATAAAAGCAAAACATCTTAAATGAGGAATAAAAAGAACGAATCTAGATATCTGTTGCAGTATATCTAAATGAAACATGTATTTTTTTTAATAGGTTTGTAAACAGTATGACGTATTATGGACTTTTTCTTCTATCTGGTACCATGAGTGAAAATATGTACCTGAATTTCTTCTTAAACGGCATGGCAGAGATTCCGGGAATATTCATCTATTGGTTTACAATCAACAGGTATCGTGTTTTATGACTTACCATGTAAGGTTGACTGAGGCAATAACATTATATGTTTTCCAAAACAATTTGCATTTTAAAAATGAAAACAAATCTATCCTCAGATATGGTAGAAGGAAAACTGGTGTCATGTTTCACACTATAGCTGGTGTCAGTCTTATTTTGGCCGCAGTACTGGATTTTGTTGGAGGTAAATATTTTCAACTTTACTGAAGGTAAAATATCTTAGTTTTACAGGATATAAAATGTTTTATCTTTACTTTTGGTATAATAACTAAAATCTACAGAAGGAAAAAAAATGCTTATAAGTAGGTTACTGCACAAAGAATAAGTTCAAATTATTCATATTAATCATTAACATTCAGTATAATTTAAAAAGAGATTTACTGTCAAATGCTGACTAATTGCTTTCATACTAATTGTTAGGCCATGCTAATACACTGAACCGCGTCTACGGATTTTTCGATTTTTTTTACAAGGAGCACACGGCAAGTGTGACCGGTCGGCAGGGGGATGCTCACTCCTACATGGCACCTGATCCCACCTCTAAACCTTGAGAACCGTGCTTGCTCTTCTCCAAATTTGTATCGTTTCATTGGAATCCGAGATTGATTACCCTTTCTTATCTTCGTATTTCTCTCTCAATTTGTTTTTTTTTATTTTTATAAGATACACCAGCACTGAAAGGGCTGTCCTCTGCCATGATTTTTATCGGAAAGTCTATGATAACAGGATCCTTTACGACGATCTTTATATACACGCCAGAATTGTATCCTACCAATCTAAGGTAATGTATCTTTATATGCAATCAAGAGATTTAAACTTCCAATTGAAGGTAATGTATATTTATATACAGTCAAGAGATTTATCCTAACAATCTACGGCAATGTATCCTTATTTACTATCCAGAGATTTATCTTAGCAATCTAAGGTTAGGTATTTATATATACTATCCAGAGAGTTAACCTACCGATCTAAGGTAATGTATCCCTATTTACAATCCAGAGAGTTATCCTACCGATCTAAGGTAATGTATCCTTATTTACAATCCAGAGAGTTAAATCTTAACAATCTATGGTAATATATCCTTATTTACAATTCAGAGATTTATCAGATTAATCTAAGGTAATGTATCCTTATTTACGACCCAGAGATTAATTTTCCAATCTAAGATATGATAACTTTATACTGTGAAATCACCAATTTTCGTAGGGGCTTAATTCTTGTGGTTTTCGAGGCACAGAGAGACCCACGAATTCATGATCACCACGAAATGTGAAATTTCCTACTCTTACGCATTACTACTAAACACTCTCCAACCACGAAAGTAAATCCCCATTAACCAGTATTTTTTCCTTAAACCTTGAAAATTTGACCCCACGAACATATGTGATTTTATCTTTTTATATAATCCAGATTTTTATCCAATCAATCAATGGCATGATATCTTAATTGATTTTCGCAGGTTACAACACTGTCTTTATTTGTAAGGCTTATTACTAGTAAAACAATTGTCTTTAGAGAAACTGGGGATTTTTTTCCCAGCCAACATATAGCTCCTTTTGAAGGAATGGAATTCTTTAAAATCGTATGTCAGTTTTAATTATTTCTAATATACCAAACAGCCAAATTCGGACCATATATTGATTGATCACACCTATATTGGAAGTCAAGCCAAAAGTCATCAACAAATCCTGTCATTAAAAATTGAACACGTAAATGTACATACCTTGTAATGGTCTTCTGTTAATCTTTTTGTTAAAAAATTTTATTCTACACACAAGTACATGTACTCAGACATTTATATTAAAAACGTTCTTGAGTTTCTATTGGAACACTATCTATATAATCTTTGAAGACAGGGGCTTCCAACAATTCGCTGGAATTTCCATGGGGACAAATTGTACCTATTTCTAGCAGACTTATTTTTATATTCCTATGAAACGAAATTTACTCAAAAACTTTTTTATGGAAACAAGAAAATTCATACTGTGGTCTCCAATTCAATATTTGGATATGTCGATGACGATTTATCAATTAACAATATTCCTTCCCATTCTTAGGTTGATGCAGTTTATCCCACTGTACTCTAAATAAAAGACATAAGAACGACTGACACGTTTTATATGTCGATATTTGACTTGAAAATGACATTGGGGGAAAACTAACAAATACACCTTATTATAAAAGTGATGACGTCACTTGGGGCCCACTCGATTGGAACACTCCTTATTCCAGAATAACCATTCCGTCTGCTCGATTGGTTTGGTAGGGAAGACTTACATGTAGAAGGCCTTCTCAGCCTTCCGCGTCAGAGATGGAAGGATAGCATGCATTCTAATATGTCGTCAAAGGGTTGGTGAATTGTTCGGGGACTTTAATTTTTGTAAATAAACCAAACTTTAAACAAACTTCAATAGCAAAAAAGTACTTTAATAATTTATGAAGGATAATTCTGTTAAGAAGCATTTATTCTGTTATGTAATTGCAGTAAAATCAACCATCGAACACAGATTCATAATTTACCATGTAATATGGGATGCGGATTTGACCCATAAATAGGTCCCTGATGTGACTATAATTATTTTTATATTTTTTATACATGTAGTTTAATATTCTTCTGTCTCAGGCACTTGATGTTTAAACTTTTTTTACATAAATAAAAAGGTCCCAAAACTATTATATTTAATAAATGTTTTCCACTCCTGATTATCTCTTCAAGTTTCCTTTCAACTACAATTTAATCCTTTAAATTAAAAGATTCAAATTCTTGAAAAAAAAAACAACTACTGCAGTAATTCAAAACATGCAGATGATATTCCATCATATTCAATATCCTTCTGAACACTCGATTTAGACATATATATATTCCAACCCTTCTGACATTCCCTTCTGCTTCGAGAAGGGTCTAAATCGAGTGGGACCCTTTTCTTTTTTTCACACTCCTTTTTATGTAGCAATTTATTATTATCATCTGCATATGTGGTTTGCTGCGCAAATAAAAATTTCTATGAGCGATTAATGTCTGAAACGAGCTAGACTATTGATAGAAAAGATGATTATATAATGATATTTACAATTTCCTTTTGAGTCATTTTTTGCAAATTCTATAGCTGGTACGAAGACCACCATGTCTGCAAACACAATGTATCATAAAGTCTAATGTTGTCTGGTTGTTTTTCAATAAATAGTTAGTCTATTATCTTCACACTGAATGGTCTATAGATTTTTCCGTTGATTCGATCAGATTAAGGATTATAAGACGGGTATGACTGATCAAAAGGGGATGCTTACTCTTCATTGGAACCTGATCTCATCTCTTCAAGGTCTGTATTTGCTCAGCCACCAAATGGCATTGCTTAATAGGACTTTAAGCATGATTACAGTAACTTTCTTCATATTTCTTATGTACGTGTATCATGACTTAGGTCTCGGCATAAGAAGTGATAGTAACGTATTTTTTGATTATGACCTTAATAACGTAGGTCCCGCTTCACGGTAGGCGTTTGCAGGATAAAGAACCCTCACTCCTCAATGGCCCTGAGTTCCAAATATAGGACAAGATTTCATGCCCTTCACCTGCATATGGTAACTCTCCATATGAGTGAAAAATTCTCGAATGGGACGTTAAGCAAATTGAAAATACAATCAATCAATCTACGTGTACCTTTGAGTGACTGCTTCAAAACAAAAATATTTTTAAATTATGGTGATATCCTGATCATTCATCAAGCTGTTGTTTGTAAAAAAGTACAATCTAATATTCAATGGGCAAAAAGTGTAAATTAAAGAAAGAAAATTTGGAGGTTTTGAGATTTAGAGAATCCAGTATCCATTTATATTCATTTTAGATGTTTTATTGTAGTGTCATAAATATATCCTTTTAAATCAAATTTCTTTAAAAAAAAAAACAACCTATGAGGAAATCTGACTTTGAAACGCTTTTAATAAAAAAAGGACTAAACCTCTCAATGTTGCAGCGCTTATATGAACAGTGTGTTATTGATTATTTGATCGCGCAGTATTTCCAATATTAATAAAACAAAAACAAAAGTAATCATTAACATTACCGACAAAGGTAAGGATAAACTTACCAAAGAGTAAAGCTAATCAATAGAGTCTGCATTATTACCTTAACAATAAATGGATCACTTGCATGTAATGATTTTAAAGTTTCCTGTAAAAAAAAATCTTTACATTGTTTACAAATACGGCAAGGAAAAATTATGAACTATACATCTCATTCTGGATTCATTACATTTAAGTCTCATGTTGATAGGTTATCTCTCTCTCTCTCTCTCTCTCTCTCTCTCTCTCTCTCTCTTTATATACTTGTATATGTGAATGCAAATTTGTTCTGTTGTTTCCCTTGTGTGTTTGTTATGTTTGTTCCCTTGTGTATTTGTTATGTTTGTTCCCTTGTGTGTTTGTTCTGCTGTTTCCCTTGTGTGTTTGTAATGTTTGTTTCCTTGTATGTTTGTTCTGTTGTTTCCCTTGTGTGTTTGTTCTGTTGTTTCCCTTGTGTGTTTGTTCTGTTGTTTCCCTTGTGTGTTTGTTCTGTTGCTTCCCTTGTGTGTTTGTTCTGTTGTTTCCCTTGTGTGTTTGTTCTGTTGTTTGTAATGTTCTATTGTTTCCCTTGTGTGTTTGTTCTGTTGTTTCCATTGTGTGTTTGTTCTGTTGTTACCCTTGTGTGTTTGTTATGTTGTTACCCTTGTATGTTTGTTCTGTTGTTTCCCTTGTGTGTTTGTTCTGTTGGTTCCCTTGTGTGTTTGTTCTGTTGTTTCCCTTGTGTGTTTGTTCTGTTGTTTCCCTTGTGTGTTTGTTCTGTTGTTTCCCTTGTGTGTTTGTTCTGTTACTTCCCTTGTGTGTTTGTTCTGTTGTTTCCCTTGTGTGTTTGTTCTGTTGTTTGTAATGTTCTGTTGTTTCCCTTGTGTGTTTGTTCTGTTGTTTCCATTGTGTTTTTGTTCTGTTGTTTCCCTTGTGTGTTGTTATGTTGTTACCCTTGTGTGTGTGTTCTGTTGTTTCCCTTGTGTGTTTGTTCTTTTTCTTCCCTCGCGTGTTGATCTGCAGATCTCTTGTTTTTTTAGGCTCTTTTTTCTCTTTATAGGGCACTTGGTATGGGAATGGGGTCAGCCGCAGGTAGAATAGGAGGCATGGTATCCTCATTTGCAGCTTTGTTTGTAAGCATTTAATTAGATATACAGCTTTGTTTGTTAGCATTTTTATTTGATATAAAACTTTGATTGTAAGCATTTTGAATTAGGTATACAGTTTTGTTTGTAAACATTTTAAATAAATTATACAGCTTTGTTTGTAAGCATTTTTATTAGGTATAGAATTTTGTTTGTTGTCATTTTTAACTTGGTATGAAAGTTTGTATTTTTGAAAAGGTATACATCTTTGTTTTTAGTTTTTTAGATTAGTTTGAAGCTTTTTTGATATATTTTGTCGTTACATAAAGAGCCGTATTTCATATAGAGAGATTATATATTCCACGACTTTATCTATCTATTAACTATTAATTTTTCTTACAGGGTACCTACGTACCTTGGGGACCAGGTGTAGTGTTTGGCTGTCTGTCACTTCTGGCAACGATATCCTTCCTATGGTTACCCGAAACAACTGGGAAAGAGCTACCTAATACTCTCCTGGAGGCCTTGAGTTTCCATTCCCAGAAAGACAAAAAGAAAAAGACAACTCTGGTTTCTTTAAATGAAAATAACTAGCTGAGAACGTACAATATATTTTATATCTACAGTTGTAACCCCCCCCCCAAAAAAAAAAAAATAATAATAATAAACTTATGTCATGACAGAGATACTATTAATTATAGATTTAGCTTTAACAAATGATTGCCTTTGCCTAAATATAAACAAGATGAGGGAAACTGACTTGACTTGTTCGACATCATTTACAGAAAGCAAATACAGAAATATATTGCAAGAATACAAAAGCAATGAAAGAAAAGTATGTTTCAGTATATACAGATTTAGCAAAACATGTTGACCTTATTTTTAGAATCCAAACTACTTAAATAAAAGTAAATAAAACTCTCTACCTTAAACGAATATACAGTCAAATAACATATACCAGTTAATAATACAGAAAACTAGCCTATCGGCTGGTGACAGCAAATGCAATATTCCATCCTTTTCCCCTGCTACAGGTTTCAGTTGAATACCGAAATTCCTAATATATAGGAAGGACCATGATGATCAAAACTGTTGGCGTTACCCGTTCTTTATATTTAGCTTATAAACCAACAATCAAGGACTACTTTACTACTAAAACAACATACAAAACCAAACACATAATAATATGTTAGCAAATATTCAGTTCAATATAATTTTCAAAAGATGTATTGTGGTATACACATAGTATAAATTTTCCTATTTAGTTTCAGTAAAACAAATCATTTTCCTCGAATTAAATGGACATCCCTCGTATGCACCTAGTATTTGTAAATGCTTCTGGAAGAGAAAGCCACCCCCCTAATACTGCTACCCTGATCTATTCAAATGTTGCTGTTTGCGAAAAAATAAAGTTGATTCCATTTTCAAGGGGGATGAATTGAAGATAACAACAAACAGTTATCGATCTGAAAAAAATCAAAATACAATACAAATCTATGAAACAAGGCATAAAACTCGGATCGTTTGGAATTTCAGAGGTGGATCTATGTGTCTAGGGAGAGTAAATATCCTCTGTACAACATTACAACCACTGGGAACCCTACGTATTGATCAGATAGAAGAAAACACTTGCTATGGCCTTCAATTCGACATTTAGATATATCGATAACGTATTGTCAATTAACAATGGTAATTTCCATTCCTGCGTCGATACTATATACCCTGGTGAGCTTCGGATAAGATACCATAGAGGATGACACATCTCTTTCATACTTGGATATTTTACTTGAAAAAGAAAAACGTAAATGGTAATCTAACAATCAAGCTATATGATAAACGTGATGCCTTTAACCTTTCTGTCGTCAACTTCCTTTATGCAGCAATATACCTTCATCACCTGCATATGAAGTGTATATATCACAGTTGATTCGATATGCAAAAGCATGCTCTTCATATGAACAATTTCTTAAACGAGATAAATTATTGAAAACAAGTTGATGAAACAAGAATATCAAGAGTCTCGTTTTAAGTCATCATTTTGATTTTGTAATTTCTATTGTCGATACAATGATCTTACCAGCAAATACTATTTATAAAATAAAATGCTGACTGACGTTTTTCATACTAATTATTAGTCCATTCTTTACACATTGAATTGACGACGGATTTTTTCGTCATTTCTTGATCATGACAAAGTTCTTAATTCACCCAAATTATATCTAGGGCCAAATGAAGGAATTGAGGTGAAATTGTAAATTTATGTCAGAGAAATTTAAGCTATGGTAAGTACATACCAGTTAACTGGGATCAGCAAAAGTCTGTTGTCGGAAGACCAGAAAGAAAGAAGTTTTTTAAGAAGCTGTGAACATTGGCAAAAGGCATGAGACTAGATATGTTAGGTACATTTATTTGACATTTGAGAAAAACTTTGCCTAATAAAGATTCCATTTGAATCTGTAACTTTTAAGTGATGGAACACCAATTGGCATTGCCACCACGATTAATACAGCACATCACTGAATTTTCACACTTTCTTTCGCAAGATAGTCGTTAACACTTTAAAAGCACTGGAATGCGTCTGATATTTTTTAAAACTCATTCTCTGTTGTGCTTTGCAAGTACATGTAAGTTGCAGCACCACTTCTACATGAATATGACATATGGAAGGATCTATGATAAAAAATGACAAAGCTCTGAGAATTTAGTTAAATTAGTAATATGTTAATGGAGAGGCCTTGTGTTAAAGTATAGCTAACCCTCAGAGTAAAGTGGAATATTCATTTAAATATGGCAGCTTTTTGTTCAATTGATTGTCACAATAGGTGTTTCTAATTCAGGTTGTTTCTGCACCTGTCTGGTCAGATTTGGTTTTTGCTAGAATAAATTCAATTGTATTAACTCTTTACAACTCACTGAATTGTTAAACAACATGTAGTTGATGTTAACGTCCTAGAAATGTGACGTTACCATTTCCCCGCATGCACTTTTTAGCTTGGTACAAGTTTTTCTAAAGTTAGTGTAAATAATCTTGCAACGTAATATTTTAATGAGAAAATATCTTTTCTTATCATATGCGATTTATGTGTCCCTTCGTCTTAGTAATGCTAATGGCTAGTTATAATGAATGCTTGCTGGTGAACGACCCTCTCAAATGGAGTCTTTGGTTCAGAGACTCTCATAGGAAGTTAAAGGACTCATTCTGGATGTTAAAGGACTAACTCTGGATGTTAGCTCTTTGAAGCTGGAAAACTCATATCTTAAGGCTCAGATATCAACAGGTAAATAATTATAACTGGTCTAAAAAATATTTGAACGATAAAAAGTTCAGAAGATATCCTTGTATCTTATAGAAAGGCATATGAGAACAAGTTATGAAACGTTATGTACTGTTCAGTCATATTCAGGCTCTTTTGTATTAATGCGGGCAATCCATCTATATCTTGGTGAGATTAAAATGTCAATGCTCGGAAGGTCGACTTACATTATAAGAAGCAGAAAATAAATAAAGTTTAAAGTCGACAAGCAAATTCAAAGAATTGTGGTCCCCCGCTTTCGGTGTCTTTGTTGGTGAGATGTTATTTTTTATGACATATTGTGTCTAATATGAACATCCTATCATATGTCATTTCATAGAAATTATCATTGAAGTTGATTTTTTTGAAGGATGAAAACCCTTATCCTGACCGTTAAAAACTTATGGCCAAAGTTAACGTTTTTTAAAAGTAGGTCAACTCCAAGGTCAAGATCAAATTGTCAAAGTTGTTGATGAAATGTTTTCTCACAAGGATTACATATGTGAAGCATAAAAGCCCTAGTTCTTACCGTTCAAAAGTTGTGGTCAAGGTTAAAGTTTTTACATAAGTACGTAAATCTATAAGGTGGAGGTCAAAAGTTCAAAGTTGTTGATATCCAATGAAAGGACTTGTCACAAAGAATACATATGTGAAATATTAAAGTCCTAGTATCTACTGTTCAAAAGTTGTGACCAAGGTTAACGTTTTTTTTAAAGTAGTTAAAACTCCAATGTCAAGGTCAAAGGGTCAAAGTTCTTGGTATGCAATGAAAGGTCTTCTCAAAAAGATTACATATGTGAAGTACAAAAGCCCTAGCCCTCACGGTTCAAAAGTTATGGTCAAGGTTAAAGTTTTTCCATAAGTGAGTAAATCTCCAAGGTCAAGGTCAAAAAGTCAAGGTTGTTGGTATCCAATGAAATGTCTTGCAACAAGGAATACATATGTGAAATATAAAAGTCTTAGTATCTACTGTTTAAAAGTTGTGACCAAGGTTAAAGTTTTTAAAAAGTAGTTGAAACTCCAAGGTCAAGGTCAAAGGGTAAAAGTTTTTGGTATCCAATGAAAGATCTTTTCATCAGAATTATAAATGTGAAGTATGAAAGCTGTAGTACTTATTGTTCAAAAGTTATAGCCAAGCTTAAAGTTTTTTCATAGACACGGAAATCTCCAAGATCAAGGTCAAAAGGTCAAGGGTGTTGGTATCCAATGAAAGGTCTTTTCACAAACAATACATTTGTGAAATATGAAAGTCCTAGTACCTTCCATTCAAAAGTTATGGCCAAAGTAAAAGTTTGAAATTTCTGTGTAAAATGGGTCAAACTCCAAGGTCAAGGTCAAAAGGTCAAATTTGGTGGTACCCAAAGAAAGGTTTTGTCACAAGGAATACACATGTGAAATATGAAAGTCATAGCTCTACTAAATCAAAAGTTATGGGCAAGGTTAAAGTTTTTGTGACGGACAGACTGACAGACTGACGGACAGACGGACAGACGGACAGACGAATGAGATTTAATGTCCCCTCGCTTTCGCGAAAGCGGGGGACAATAACGTACCAATTATTAACCAGCGCCTTAGGGCTTCTTATTTTTTGATACTGAATAAATTGGTTCTTTATCTCTCAAAACTTTATATAAACTGTATAAATGTGTACTACTCTTTTGCGGGGCGAATTAATTAAAGTTTGCTAAGTTTTAGATAGATAATTCATTTCTTTATGAATATTTATGGTATGAAATAAATTAAATCACAGACTACACTGTAGGTAACGTTTACTTAATTTACACAATATTAAAGGAAGAAATTAATTTGATAGGAAATTCATCTAACTATTCTTTCATTTTCTTCTTTATACTGTAAATGTATTATACACTGTTTTTTTTACAACGCAGACGCCATCATATTTCTAAGCATGTAGGAAAAGTCATTTTTCATTTACTCATTTGAATATATAACAATACCAATGCTGAAGCATCCTATAATGTCATTCATACAAACGATAACTTATAAATCGGCACTAAGTTGGTCATTTTTCACACCTGAGTTACCTGTCCTTAAACACAACATCGGAAAAGTCAATTATAAATGATTAAACTTTTTAATGATGTTATTAAAAGTATGCATGAGTTATTATCTTTTTTTTTCTTTTATTAAAAGCATATGCAATATACAACATAGTAGATATAAATTGTAACATACATCACAATTAATGTTTTTTATGTTCATATCAGAGTAGTTATGATACTTTTATAGAGAAGAAAAATATATAAATATATTATACGTATCATAGGTATATAACAAGCATTTTGTTTCTTTTATATAACATTCACAAATTTATCTGTTCAATTTAATGCAATTA